GTGAACTTAACAGATCTATCTGAGCTGTATGGACTCACATCAACTATTAGGGAATGCAGCTCCGTTTGGGGCAAGAATTGGACTTCTGTTCTCAAAAACTCTATAAAGAAATACAGATAAGCGTGAAGACAGATTTATGAAAGCAGGGATACCTTCCACTATACCAAGTTTCTGGTCCAAACTGGCCTTAACCACTTCCAGGGACGGGGCAGCCACAGCTTCTCTGGGAAACTTGTGCCAGTGCCTCACCACCCTCACAGTAAAAATCTAAATATAAAGCCTTTTGACTGCTAAATCACCCTCATAATCATCCTACTCTAATGAGCAGTCCATACCATTTGGTGAATGCCTCCATCACTTCCAGCATACTGTGTAATTGTCACTTGTGCCAGGCAAAATGATGGAAAAGAAAGAGTATTTTGTACTTGCATTAATTCACTTGAAACTAGATTTAGTACTCTGCAACATGTAGAGGAAAATCAATTCGGGAGAGAATTTTAGTATCACATAAAATGCCACTCGTGTTTTTCACATTATTAAAAGAATAACCTAAAGTATTTTAGGATGGAATAATCTAAGCTGGAAGGAAAATACAAAAATAGGCTAGGAGGGACATGACCTGTTTAACCAGGGAAAACGTTGCAAACACAAAAAACTTTGGCTACTCCTTTTCCATAATTTTTCATCATTTTCAGTCTTGTCAGCATGAATAATACCGTTGATTTTTGCTATGATTGCAGAATACAAAACAAAGTTGAAAAACACTTGAAAGACCATTTCTCTCTTTTGCTTTCAATTGAAACACCCTTTCCAAATGCAGACAAGTAATGAAGCTGACTAAGACGCCACAGAACATACCTGATCAGTGTATAGTCCAGATTTTGAGGCAACTTTTTAAGAAATATTTTTAAACAATAAAAAAGAAGTTACTTGCATGTTATAGCAATCCTGTTTCTAGATGAGGTTGTCACCTGATTTAGTAAGGAAACAAATCTTCTCTGGTCATTCCTTCTGTTTGTTTCTCTGTCTTGCTCTCTGTCCTGGGAAATTGTCCCTGGCTCATGGTAACTCCTAAACTGCACCTGGAAATTGTGCAGGAGAGTTTTAGTTTGCCTGGATCCAAGCCAGAGTAACCTGGTCAAGTGTCAGGTGTCTCTGCCCATGGCCGGGGGTTGGAACGAAATGATTTTTTAAGATGCCTTCCAAACCAAACCATTCCATGATTCTATGATAAGCCAGACGAGTACCTTGTTGACTATAGATGGATTGAGTTCTCCTGCCTTGTGCAGGTGTCTGCTGCTGTTTAATTTGTTGGTGTAGCCTGGTAGAGATAGAGAGATGGATGGATGGATAATATCCAAATGGCAACTGGGATCTAGCCATCCAAATTTGGAGGGTGAGAGAAATTCACGATAGGGCATGACCAGATCACACCAAAAGGGCTCCAGCCAGCAAAAAAGCCCTACCACACAGAATCATAAAATCCTAGAATGGTTTGGGTTGAAGTGACCTTAAAGATCATCTCATCTTTGTCTTTCATATCGAAAAGGCACGAGAGAACTGCCCCATCCCTGGAATTGTTCAAGGCCAAGCTGGATGGGCTTTGGAGCAATCTGGCATAGTGGAAGGTGTCCCTGCTCATGGCAGAGGGGTTGGAATCAATGACCTTTAAAAGGTCCCTTCCATCTCAAACTGTTCCGTGATTCTATGAAGAGAAAAAGAGCAAATTCAGTAGAATGGACCATGCTCAATTTACCAGAGAAAAGGCTCTGTATTTCCAGGTTTTCCTGAGTTCTACCTTGTAATAGTTGTCTCCTGATTTAGGGAAATGCTGTGTATGTCAATAAATCAAACTCTGTTTCCAGTACTGAGAGCTGAAAACACATAAGAGCACTGCTCTGTTCTCTTAAAGCAATGTGAAGAGCTTGAAACACTTTGCAAACAGGAGGGATTTTCACAAACCTGCAGAAAAAAATCAGGAATGGAAATCAAACTTCCTGGCTCCTGTGCCCTAACCATAAGACTGAATTTTTTCTCTAGTCTTACAGCTTCATCAAGTTCAAGGTGAACTTAGTGATAAGGAGTTCTGCTTGGAGCAGAAAGTATTGGAACGCAGAGTGGGCTGGGACTTGGTGTCTCTCAATCCCCAGCTCCATCTCTCTGTGGGCGTTTGGTTGTTAGAAGGCTCTGTCCCTAAGTGGTGCTCAGCTCTTTGTCCTCACTGATGTGTTTTCTCCTCTTCCCTCTGGAACAGACTTCAGTGGAGCTGTTTGCAAAAAAAGGAGGGTGGAGGGAGAAAGGTCAATGGCTTCATGATAAAGAATAAAAAACAACAACGCAGCAGGTCTTACAGTAAAAGAAGCCAGTTAGTAAGTCTTGGTTTGTTACTGCAACATCCTGGCTCTTACAAAGCTCTCAGTTGCTGTAGCTCCTCACAGTCCTAACACAGCCGAAACTGTGCTGACAAACCCTTTTGGAGATATTTCCCTCTTTACATTACCTGCTCAGGTAATTAATGACTTCATTTCCGACTTGTCCAGCCTTTTTTCTATGCTTTTCTGGCTGGATTTGTATTCAGCTACCACCTCTCCTGCTCTTATTGCCAGACCATAGCTGCTCTTACATTATTTTCCCAGGAATAATTCTCTGACTTTCCCTGGCTTAAAAGTGACATTGTCTTTTATCCCTGGACTTTCAGGCTTTTTGTTCAAGTAAGAGATATTTCCAGCTTGATTTTTTGTTATGTGCCCTGGCTGGCAAACTGAAGGATATTGATACAAGATATTATGAAATTACTGTTACAAGCCCTTCCAACCTACAGCATTAGATGCATGAGGATAAAAAAACTGCTTTAGCAGCAGCCTAAAGTGATTGCACTCTCAAATTACACATTTTAGGTCAATATCTTATGTTAGTTGAGGTAAATCTGTGCAACTATTCTGGCCACAAGGATGTCCAAAATCCATGCTTCAAATAATTACATTTTATTGGGGTTGCTTCAATTTCTCATAATGTCCAATATTTCACAGAATCACAGAATGGTTTGAGTTTGTGGAAGGGACATCTTCCACTAGACCAGGTTGCTCCAAGCCCCATCCAACCTGGCCTTGAACACCTCCAGGGGGCAGCCACAGCTTCTCTGGGCAATTTGTGCCAGGGCCTCACCACCCTCACAGGGAAGAATTTCTTCCTAATACCCAATCTAAATCTACTCTCTTTCAGCTTAAAGCCATTCCCCCTTGTCCTATTCCTTACAAAAATCTTAGCACAACTCTTGTTGCATGTTGGAGTGTGGGCATAAGCACTGTTGCAGACAGACTCCTCTCACTCCAACGCAAGTTGAATTTGCAGAAGGTAGTTTTGTGTAATGGGCTTGTAAAGGCAGCTGCAACCTTCCCCACACCCACTTTTCATGGCCACATTTATTCCTCAGCCATTGCATGATCACTTTATTCACTGGATGATGGCATCATGAAGAACTAGAGTGAGAGTTATAGTTTGTTCCTTTATGAAAAAGAGTGAAAATAGTTTCAAGGGAAAAGACTCAGCCATTTACAGCTTTGTAAAGACTATGCAGAGTTTTGCAGGTTTTCCAGTGAAGGAGCTATCTTCTTTTTCAAAGTTCATGCTTTTAAAAAAAGAAAGAATGGAAGCAAATATTAATCTCCTTTCAGTGAGAATATATGAACAACTAAAATGAGCTAGGGGTGTTTATACTGGAGAAGAGCAGGCTCAGGGAGACCTTCTCACTCTCTACAACCACCTGGCAGGAGGTTGTAGCAAGGTGGGGGTCATTTTTTTCTCCCAAGTAACAAATGATAGGACAAGACGAAACGGCCACAGGGGAGGTTTAGATTGGATATTAGGAAATATTTCTTCACAGAAAGGGTTATGAAGCACTGGAACAGGCTGCCCAGGGAAGTGGTGGAGTCACCATTCCTGAATGATTGAAAAACATGTGCTCAGAGACATGGTTTAGTGGTGGACCTGACAGTATTAGGTTAATGACTGGACTAAGTGACCTTAGAGGTCTTTTCCAACCTGAACAATTCAGTGATTTTAAGATTCACAACGGGTTTCTTGCAATTTAGTATCTTTACAACAGCTGGGGGCTTTTTTGCATTTTGAAAGTCACCCATGGAATGGCAACAACAAATGTGTGGAATATGATCTTCCCATTAGCTTTGATAATTACAACTGAAGTTATATACTTTCCCTCCTCAATTTCTACTTGAAACTCAGATCTTCTCTACTTCCCCTTCCGACAAGAGACTGGACCAGTCGAACAGGGGCAGGATTACTGAGATCCGTCCAGTATTTCAGGTTGTTCCACTGCAGAGCCTGTGGCTGCAGAGCCATCTTGTGGAGGAGCCTCAGATGGGTCTGCCAGGAGCAGACTTTTTTAATTTTTTTTATTTTTTTTTTTTTTTTTTAACATGCTACAGCTTGATCTGGCAGGAAGAAGTCTAGGCAAGACATCCTGCCCACCCAGCATCTGCTTCACCTACCCTGGAGTATCAACAAGTCCTCTAACTCTGTAGAGATTCCCAAGTTCCCTGAGAGCTGAAACACAGAAGCCAATATTTCTCTCATCATTTCCTAATTTAATACTCCCAGCTTGGAGGGTTTTGACAATGCTCCTGTCACAAGGTTTTGCCACTTCTACTTGAAAATATAAGGATGCCATCTGAATTTCACACACTGAACAAATGTGCCTACAAATGGGTGCAGCTCCATGTATGCCAGGTACAAGGCTCTGAAATTAAGGCATGTAATTAGTTCTTTACAAGTTTTTTGGGGAGGAAGAAGACAGGAATAGGGGAAATTCCTCTCATTGGAATGGCTAAACATGCCACCCCTTCTGGAGATACCACTACTGAGTACAGGGTCTGGAAAATGAGAGCTGGGAATCCTATAGCAGTGCAGGATGTGGGATCACAATTGAGGGGGGTTATAAAATACTGCCAGAGCCAGGCTGCTGGGAGCAGGGGGTCCATGGGCTGACAGGACAAGGACCTTGCTAGGCAGGGTCTGTCATCTGTTGTCTTTAACTCTGGTCTCCACAGTTCAAGGAAGACAAGGAGCCACTGCAGAGGGTCCAGTGGAGACCATGAAGATGATGAGGGGTCTGGAACACCTCTCTTATGAGGAAAGACTGCAGGAGCTGGGCCTGGTTAGTCTGGAGAAGACTGAGAGGGGACCTCATCAATACATATAAATATCTCCAAGGCAGGTGCCAAAAGGATGGTGCCAGACTCTCTTCAGACTCCCTTCAGCGACAGGATGAAGAGCAATGGCCATAAAGTAAAATACAAGAAGTTCCATCTCAACAAGAGGAAGATTTTCTTTACCTTGAGGGTGACAGAGCACTGGAACAGCCTGCCTAGAGATTTTGTGTATTTTCCCTCTCTGGAGACATTCCAAATCCACGTGGACGCATTTCCATGTCACCTGCTCCAGGTGGCTCTGCCCCAGCAGGGTGTTGGACTGGATGATCTCAAGAGCTCCCTTCCAACCACAACTCACAGAATCAGACGAGCAAAGAATCACAGAATGGTTTGTGTTGGAAAGAACCTTAAAAATCATCTCATTCCAACCACCCTCGCGTGGGCAGCAACACTCTACATATATATAGAATTTATATATGCATATACCTACATATTTGCACATGTAAATGTGTCTGTATGCAGATTTATGTATTTCCCACTCTCACCCTTTCAGCCTAATCGGCCAAGGGGAGGGAACAGGATGAAGCCTATAGTGCTGTTTGTGTTTCTACGAATTTTGTGACTTCTGCCTGTGACTATTCTATGATTCCGTCAGCCCCTAGCGGGGGAGGACCTTATTGTAAGAACAATCCCGATCTTAAGACTTAATGATTCTGAAATCTACTTTTGCAGAAGGAGAAATAACAATTAAAATTGCCTAAAACGGGAATAGGTTTCGCAGAGCTTTTGAAACCCCCCACCCCGACCCAGGGCGCATGTAAGGGGCAAGTTAAATTCAGTTTCAGACCAATAAAAGCACGTTTAAAACTGAGCTTTAAGCCACATTTAAAAGCCACAACGCTGGGACAAGACACCCCCCCCTCCCCCCCCCAATGCAGGGGCGGGCGGGGCCACTCCTCAGGCCACGCCCCCCCGTTCCGTCCAATCAAGAGGCGGTGTCCCGGCGTCCCCTGGCCTGTTCCCCGCCGCGCACGCGCGCGGGGGTGGAGGTTGGATTTTAGCGCGGATCCGGACGGGCCGGGAGATGCCGGGGATTCCAGAGCCGGAGGGGGACAGCGGTAGGTGCCCGATGCCCCGGCAGGGACCCAGCGTGGCTCCCGCGGGGGATGAGGAGCCCGAGTGACCGGAGAGAGCGGGGAAGGTTGAGGGAGTGAAAATGCGCGGGGCCTGCTGGTGCTTGCGCGTGCGCACTGGGCATAGAAGGGTGGGTGGCTTGGGGTTTTCTGGGAATTGCGTTGATTGTCTGTCTCTGCCCGCAGAGCCAGACGTGTTTCAGATCGTGCTGCCAATCACTGTCTTGGTGCTCAGCGATGAGGATTTTCTCCAGGGTGATGCTGAGGAGCAGGACGTGTCCGTTCCCGAGGTGGAGCAGGATTTTAACTTAAACAACAGCGTTTGCCTGAAAGATGTTGTGGCACCTTCAAACGACTGTAGCAGTGTAGGCAGCTGGGATGAAAACAAGACTATTTCAAATGAAGATAGTTGTATTAAATACTCTGAAGAGAAGTGGCTTGTTGAGGGTGTGTGCAACGCATCAAAATCATCTTTAAGTGATGGGTGTGGTGCAGGCCTGGAGAAATGTGGCCAAAATTGCACGTTACCTACATCGCCTTACAAAACAGAGATAAACAAAACCGGTGGTGGGAAAGAATGTGATGGTGGCTTTCAGAAGATTCCTCCTCTCCTCTCTGCTGGCAGAGAGGTCAGAGATGATACCAGCCCATTGATGTTGCCAGCGGTGCCTAAAAAAGAAGAACCTGGCAGTGTTGCAGGTGTTCTTTGTGATGGCAGTCCAGAGGGACAACCAGAAATCCACAAGGAGATGGAGGCAGTTGCTGAAATGGAAGGTAACTTGTTTCATAAGATTAGTGCAAGAGTTTAAGAAATCTGGTAAATCTCAAGTTTTTGAAATAGGAAAGTGTATAAAACAATATCAAACCCATTTATTTTAGAGTAAGCATTTAAAATTAGATTAATATCATGTGCAGCAGAAGGAGAATATTGGCTGGAATAGGCTTAGTTCTTTCACACAATTGTGAAAAGTAGTGAAAGTACAAGAAGTTAGTACTGTTTCACTCAACTACAGTGACCAAAGGGGTGGCCTTTCATCAGGGAAAAGGTTCTGAAAATAAAAAAGTTGAAAAAGGATCATATTTGTGAGAATGGAGCCCTAGCAAAGTTTGATGATAGTACTTTGATACGAATCCTGGCATGAGGCAGTTTTGTTAAAAAACTGTAGGGAATGCAGTGTTGTCCTGCAAAATTCAGCTTTGAGTGAAAAGAGAAAGTGGAAAGGAAGTGGCTTTTCACTGGGAGCAGCATTTAAATGTTGGGGGCAAAGGGGAACATGAAGAGAGGCATTAGTAAAAAAAGTGGATATAGGGAAATACTAAGGAAGCAGAAGAGTGCCAAGCAAGTCATTAGGCAATTTGGGATTATTACAGCCAATTAATAATGAACATTTGTGATTGTATGAAATGTCATACATGAGACTTTTTATATCTTCCTGTAGATCCTGATTCTTCAAAGAATGATAACGAAACTGATACTGAAGCTGATAACAGAAAAACAAGCAAATTTGAAGATGAAACTCTGAGTTCTCTTCTGGGACGTGGCTTAGAGGAAGAACAGAAATTTACCTATAATTGTTCTGATCCATTTCTTAATGGATGTTCTTCTACTTCTAAAGAACTTCCAAAAGATGTAGGGAAACCTGAGGTGAATGTTTCCACTTCTGCTGAATCAAATACTACTGGAGAGCATATTTATAAGACATTAACACCATTTCCTAGAAAAAGATATCGGCAACAAAAAGTTGTTTCTTCTCATGCAATACAAAAAGAATTTCAGAGCCAGCAAGAAGGTTTAGTGTGGCAGAGTAATACTTTGACCCTCTCACCCCTTTCTAAAACATCTCGTTCTACAAATAAGCATGAAAGATTGAATTTCAAGTGCAGGTTTTGCAGCTCTATGTATAAATGCAGTGCACACCTAAAGAAACACATTTATTCAGCTCACAAAGATGAGAAAATACATAAATGCTGCTTTTGTAAAAGAACCTTTTTCTTCTTTTTCAACCTTAAGAATCACCTTAAATTGCATAAAAAAATTACCAGGTTGCAAAAGGCAAGAAAAAACAGAACAAATGCAAGAAAAGGGAGGCAGAGAGGATCTGAAAAAGGGACATCTGAGACCAAGAAAAGAGAACGTAAATATGAGAAATTTTTTGTTAAAATTGAAAGAGACTTTACACCTCTGTGTGTGCCTGTTAGTTTTTCCTGCAGAATGTGTTTCTTTGCTTCATCAAATCCAAGGAGTTTTATTCATCACATGAAGGGCCATAAAGAGAGACCACCATACCAGTGCCCTCAGTGTGACTACTCCTGCACTACCTTTTCCTGCCTGTTAACTCACATGTACTGGCATGCTGGGTATAAGCTGTACCAGTGCAGATTCTGCAGCTTCTTTTCATTATATTTTGCAAGCATGGTGAGGCACAGCTCCATCCACACAGGGGCTAAACCATGTTCCTGGGAGTTCTGCCAGTCAGCTTTCAGCAGCAGCTTGGAGTTAAAGAGACACAGGAGGCTCCACACAGGGACAGAAACGTGCCAAGGGCAGGAACTTGACTGTGTAAGTGGAAGAAAAAGAACTCGAAGATCTTTAAAGAATTATTCATGTGATGAATGTAACCTGGTGTTTTACGCTAAAGGAGATCTCAGTTTGCACAAGAAATTTCATGAACAGTTCGAGGCTAATGGTTATACAGATCAGAGCAATAAATACCACAAAAGAGGCAAAGCTGAGAGTGATTCTCAGGGCCACGTTTCTCTCTTTGGTAGAGAAGATGTTTGTCTCAGTGGGGCAATGCTGGCTTCAGAAGCAGACTGTGAGCAAGCAGGTGATATGCAGGGCAATAAAAAAATGTGCTCTGGAAAGAAATTCCCTGGAAACAGTCTTGGAAGCAACAGCCTGGCTATTACTGGGAATAGATCAGAAGTCACTCGGACTTCACACGAAATGGATGCTGTCCTTTACAAAGAGGAACCTCTCTTCAAGTCAGAGGCCTCTCATTCACAAGTGCAAGATGACAATGCATACCATAACTTTGTGGAAAACTCAAAGGATTCATGTTCTACCGCTTTAAATACATTCAGAACATACATGTGCCAACACTGCAGTTATGCTACTGATGTTCAGAACAACTTCAGGCTGCACCTAAAGATACATACAGATGAAAGACCATTTGTATGTAAAGATTGCAATAAGACATTTAAAACAGCAAACCGTTTGCAGAAACACAGCCTCCTTCATGTAAAGAATGAACAGGAGTCGGGCAGTTGTCTCTATGTAGAGAAGTGTTTGGAAAATCTTGAGTTGCATCGTGAAATTCATGGAGGCAGATGTCCAGAAAGGGGTTTTGGTTCCTCGGAAGGTTCTAACAGCTCCTTGCTTGGTTCAACAGTCTTTGGAGTACAGCCAGATGTTCAGAGGGACAGGAAAAAGGATTTGCTAGCACAGAGTCAGCCACCATTCTACCAGTGTGCAGAGTGCAGGTACAGTACTTACAGTTTAAGCAACCTTGAACTCCACGTAAGAACTCACACGGGTGAGAAACCTTACAGCTGCACTGTTTGCCAGATGAAGTTTCGTACTTCCAGCCACCTGAAGAGACACAGAGTGACACATTTTAACACAGAGCATTTCAAATGCAGGAACTGTGACTACTCCACAAACCAATGGCTGGCCCTGAAACGTCACCTGGCTTCGCACTCCGGCGAGGGAAGCTCATCTCTGGGCACAGCTCATCTCTGCGATCACAAGGAGCTCCCTGTGAAAACGTACCGGTGTGAGGAGTGTGGCTACTGCACGGCCCACAACGGGAACATGAAGCCCCACCTGCGGATCCACAGCGGGGAGAGGCCGTTCAAGTGTGGGCAGTGTGCCCTGGCCTTCCGCACCTCCAGCCACCTCAAGCGCCACCTGCTGACTCACTCGAGGCTGTGCTGCAGGAGGTGTAAATACTCCACGCTGGATAAACGGGCTTTCCAAAAGCACATAAAAACACACAGAAAAAAGTACACCTGCGAGAGGTGTAATGTGGCACTGTCTACCCAGAAACTGCTGGAAAAGCACAAGCGGCAGCACAAGGATGGGATATAAGGTTGGGAGTTGGCACTTGGTTCTAGGGTGGTTTGTGTGTTCAGAACAAGGGCTGGTAAGGGATACATCCAGCATTTGGTCCAGAGAGTGAAACTTGGAGGACTGCTTTGCTCCAGGTTTTTCAGAGAGGTTCAGTTCTAGCACAGGCTGTGCTAAAGATCTTGGAGACACTTCCTCATGCCTGAGTAACTGCTTAATACCATGAGTCCTGTTAGGATTTGGCCATCACTTTAAACAGTTACTCTGTGCCACTTATTTTCTTGTAAAAAATTAATAAAAATCTCTTTTCTAACTGAAAGAATGGTTAAAGGGAGGGAAAGAAGTACATGTTATATAAAAATTATCAGTGCATCTGGAGGCTTAATGCTACCTCCCATCTGCTGAAAGTTGCCTCCCAGGTTCTTTTGCAATACTTCTAAGAGAAGAAAAAAAGTCTCTCACAAAACTATGGAAACAAAATATTCATGTCATCACTGCATAACTGTGATATGAAGATGTTTTCTATATGTTTATAAAAGGTTTATTAGGCAGTTACCTTGTTTGTAGTTTTGATAATTTTGTGAGCAGTCTGACAGGAAGGGTAATGTCCTGAATAATTTATTTTATGATACTGAGAATCCTTAAATTAATCTTCAGTTTTATGTTAGTGTCTAATGTTAATAACTGTGGTAGAAAATGCCTTACCTTTTCTCAGGCTGGTGGTTACTGTGTTGTTTGTTACAACAGATGATGTAATTTTCAAATAACTTCTGTTATTTTGAGCACCTGCTGATAATTGTGAATGCTGTTTAGTTACATTGAAAACCTTAGGAATGTCTTGAACTGCTTAAATTTATTTTAAGAACTTAACTGTTCATCTAAAATACCATGTAAGAGCCTCCTGCACCAAACAGTTGGTACAGAGTATGGTGAAGGCAAGTGGGTGCTGCTTCCAGTTTCTATTTATATCTAGACAAATCTTTGGTTGTTTTACAGTTATAGAGTGCTAGAAACCTTGAGTGGACATCACTGACTGTGTTAAGTGGTTTTGATAACAATGTTTTACTCTCTTGTGTGAGGAAAGACAACAGCAAAGGGCTGGTGTGAACTGTCCCCTGATGTTACAGCTCAGTCCATGAAGAAGCAGAATAAACCTGTAGCTTAATTTAGAGAATGTAAACATGGCACTCGTGGTGCTTTTCTACTGCTCCTAAAATGTGTGCTTTTCTGTAGAAATATAGGTAATGTCTTGCAGAGGGTTTCTGGTAAAGCAGGAGGGAGGTTGGATATTGAAAAGCCATTACATGATCCTGGGCAACCAGCTCTGGGTGGCCCTGCCTGAGCAAGGGCTTGGACCAGATGTTCTCCAGAATTCCTGCAGCCATTCTGGGATTTGGAACACGATTTTTCAAGAGTGGACTGAAACTCATGAATAGATGCATGGATTTAAGGCCAGATCAGCAAAGGTATTCAAGTGATCTAGTTCTTTGGAGCTGAGGTAAAGTCAGAAAACTGCCTGAACCATGGTGGTTACAAATGTTTGTAGTACAAGCTGGGAGGTCACCATTTGGGAATGAATCATTCAGATCTTGGAACGATTGAGGCAACCACCTGATACAGTTGTGAGAAGAATGTTATCCTGTATGAAGAAAGAAAAGCATTTCTGGGAAATATTAACAGTTACACAAATTTGGAGGCATTTTTACCTGCATTACTGTACAATTCTGCTGGCTTATTTGAAGAGAAATTCCAAAGAACAGGTACGAAGAAGAAACAAAAACAACGAAGAAATTGTAAGCCTTTATATCAGATGAGACTAGGAAAGCTAAATCTGGTAGAGTTTAAAAGTGTGGTGTACAGTGATAAAGAAGGGAGCCCAATTTATAGGGATAATTTAATTTCAGTAAATTTTTACAAGAGTTGGTAAACATCAGTTTCTTCAAGATGTAAGAAGAACAAGATATTTTCAGATGGAGCTTGACAATTTTGTAAAAGTATTCCAGGTTGTTGCTTCTAATAAACAGTTTTTTGACTCCTGACATTCTCCTCTGTTCTTTATACACTGGACTGCATTTTGGGGATTCAAAGGTATTCTCAGTCTGCCAAGTCAGTGAAATTTAAAGGTAGAGGCCTACTCAGATAAGACATGGGCTGTTCTTGGTAATTTTTTTGGTAGCTAAAAGTGTAATACTTTTTATTCCTGCGTACTTTAAACAAAAGCCTTTCCTAAATCATATTAAGACGTTTCCTATTTCAACCAATAAACTTTATTTTCTCTTTGAACATATCTTGAATAGAGACAAACAACTTGAGCAGAAGGGTGTCATTTTAGCTGCTGTGCATCTTCTAAATAAGTGAATAAAAGTTAAAGAGAGGGTGAAGTCAGTGAATATAGGTCAGACCTCTGTGGTGTGGTGGTGCATCCTCCCTCTCAGGCCACACTCTGAACTCAGAAATGCTCCTTAGGCCTCAGCCTTGAACAGCACCTAGGCTCAGCTCCTCTTGAGCTTATCAGAAACACTGTCTGCTCCTGGGGACTAGTGCTGTCTAATGAGCTCCTGGGTTTTAACAGCTTTGGAAAATTATTTTTAATGCCTGAATAACAACCCAAGTGGAACAACATTTTCGTTACTAAACTCTCAAAGTTACTGACCCGAATTGCAACCAGGCTGGAAAATCAGTGTGACCAAAGCCAACTCTCTTGTGACCCTACAAGCAGTGGTCCTAAGGGGGACCCTTGGAGCTCTCCTGGCCCACAACAGGCTGTGACCAGCACCTCCCTGTGAGCAGGATACCTCTCAGAGCCAGTGAACTCTCAGGTTTGCTGTACTTGAAGGATCACTGCCAAACAATGACAACAGATCCTGAGCTGATACCCCCACTCCTCAAGGCTCAACCCTTCGCCCATTGAGAAGATGCAAAGGCATCCAATGTGAGTATGTCTCTGAACTGGAGGGGAAATTTTCACAGGTATACCTTTTACACACTCCTTTAGGTGTGTGTGTGTGTGTGAATATGCCTTAGCAAATGTGCTATGAATGTTTTTCTCCTAGATTCTTAAGTACTTTAGACTTGTAAATAAGATAGGCCTGTGAGTTACTGTTCTGCCTATAGTAAATTCTACATGAATCTTTTGTTAAATTGTTTAAATTAAGTTATTGATTAAGTGCTGTTAAGTGCTGTTAAACCTTCAGGCCTAAACCACTGGTCAAGCCTGGGGTTAAGTTTGGCAGCACGGTCCCCTCTGAACCTTGTGACTCAACAGGATGGTCTCACTTATTCCTTTTTATTGTTACCCTTTCCCATCCTTACCTTTTTTTTTTTTTGTCCCCAGCATCCACATCCATAATTTTTGGTTGATTTAGTTTTATATTGATTGATTGATTTTAGATGTTCAGATTTCTCTTTCTGTGCTTTAACCACAGAGTAAGTAGTAGTGTGAACATTGCCAGCTTTTACCTTTATATTAAATCTGTTGCTGATGCCTTTGCCAGTGATACTTTGAGTGACCTAAAGGACTCATTTGTGACAAACTGGTGTGGTTGGCAGGAGATATCACTGACTACTTACAAAAGCATGGAGTAAGTCCAAATCCTCAGTCCTCAGACGAATGGGCTCAGGGTAACTGGCATGATTGGAAGGGTGTGGAGGAACATTTAAAAGCAGCTGGGTATAAAGTCTGGGAAAGACTGCAATAAAAAGACATGTGGTTAACCACCAGCGAAATTTACCTACAACAGAAGGAAATTAGACAATTTGGGGTTTACTTTATTGAACATTATTATGTGCTGCTGCCTCAGTGTCCTTTTGGGCGACATGGAATGGTTTGGGTTGGAAGGAACCTTAAAGACCATCCAGTTCCAACCCCCATGGCAGGGACACCTTCCGCTATCCCGGGTTGCTTCAAGCCCCATCCAGCCAGTCCCTGAACACTTCCAGGGATGGGGCAGCCACAGCTTCTCTGGGCAACCTGTGCCAGGGCCTCACCACCCTCACAGGGACGAACTCCTTCCGTACACAAACGCACGGGCTGTTTCCTCAAATTAACAAAACACGCTATAAAGATGACATTACGGAAACCTGATTTCCTTCCTGCCGTTCCTATCCTTCCTTATTTGAGTCCCTTGGGGAAATGTGAAGGAATTTTAAGCAAATCCCCTTTAGTCCCCCGGCATCGCCCGGGCCCCTCTGCCGGGCGCTCCTCCGGCCGTTAGGGGGCGCCAGCGCGGAGAGCCCCTCAGGGAGCGCGAGGGTGTTGCGCATGCGCGGAGCCGCCAGACCCGCTTCCCTGGAAGAGCAGTGGCCCCGCTTTCCTGGAAAAGCCGTCGGTTCTTCTTCCCTGGAAAACCCGCCGACCCCGCTCCCTGCTTCCCTGGCAGATCAGCCAGCCCCGCTTCCCTCGCCCTCGGCACCCCCTCCGGCGCTGAGGGCGCCTGCGCGCGGTCCGGGCCGGTCCCGCTGAAGCGAGCGGTGCTCCCGTCCCCTCTCCGCTCTCTCGCTCCAGGGGCTCGTCTCCCCCTCCCTTCGCCGCCAAGATGCCGCGGATTATGATTAAAGGCGGCGTGTGGCGGAACACCGAGGTAGGACTCGGCGGGGTTTGTTTAATGCCTTGTTTCCCCCTCAGGGCCCGGGGGGAGCCCTCCCTGGTGCGCAGGCGCGGGGGGGGGGTGGGGTGGAGAGGGGTCGTGTTGCGCTTGCGCGGGAGGCTCAGGTTTTAGGGTGTCTTTGGGAGATTGGGATTTGCTGGGTCCTGCTGGATCCCGCTGGGTCCGGGCATGCGGAGGGTTTGGGGGCTGCAGGAGCGAGTCCAGAGAAGGGCAGCGGGGCTGGGAAAGGGTCTGGAGCACAAATCCAATAAGGAGCGACTGGGGGGCTTGGCCTGGAGGAAGGAAGCCTCAGGGGAGATCTTATTGCTCTCTGCAGCTCCCTTAAAGGAGATTGTAGCCAGGTAGAGGTCGGGCTCTACTCTCAGGCAACTAGCGGTAGGACAAGAGGGCACAGTCTTAAGCTGCGCCAGGGGAGGTTTAGGTTGGGCATTGGGGGGAAATTCTTCACAGAAAAGGTGATTAGACATTGAAAGGGGCTGCCCAGGGCAGTGGTGGAGTCACCATCCCTGGAGGTGTTCAAGGAAGGACTGGACGTGGCTCTTAGTGCCTGGTCTAGTTGACAAGGTGGTGTTCAGCCATAAGTTGGACTCCATGATCTCAGAGGCCTTTTCCATCCTAATTGATCCTGTGATCCCGTGGCTCTCTTGGACTGCATTTCCCAGCAGCCTGTGCCTCCCTCCTCACCTGCTGCGTCAGTGGGCGAAGGTCACATTGATGTTGTTTCTCCTGAGGGCTGCAGATTAGGAAGCTCAGCCATGTGTGTGTTATGTCCTTTCCTCCAGGGAAACCATCCCCACAGCTCTGGAGGGAAAGGGTGAGCCCTACTGTGCTCCAAGATGTCCCTCTCACAGGCTTGTACTGCATAGTCAGGTTTCTTATGCTCTAGGGGAATGAGGCAGCAGGAATCTCTTGCATTTGGAGATCTTTCCAAATGTGAAAATGGCAGAGTCACAGAATTTTTTGGGTTGGAAAAGACCTTTAAGATCATCCAGTCCAACTGTCAACCCGGCACTACCACCACGGTCACCATTAAACCATGTCCTCAAGTGCCACATCCACCTGTTTTTTTTAACAGTTCAGGAATGGTAACTCCACCACTGCCCTGGGCAGCCTGTTCCAATGCTTTACAACCCTTTCCATGAAAAATATTGTCCTAATAAGTAATCTAAACCTCCACTGGTGCAACTTCAGGCCATTTCCTCTTGTCCTGTCGGTGGGTATGGGCTCTTCCTCTGCAGCCCCAAGTGTTCTGTGTGTTGTTCCAAAAAAGAGCAGCCCCCCCTTCCCCCCTATTTTTGCTGTCACTTGCTCTCAGAACTACAAGTGGTCATGAAAAGGAAAATTGTAACAGGAGAAATCAAGGATGTGAGTTTTCTTAGAGACAAGTTTAAAGCAAAAGGATGTACCTGGCACTGTAAAACCCAGAACTCTGTTACTGTGTGCTGTGAATACCAGGCATGTGCACAGTTCCAGAAAGCAGTGAAGAAAAAGTAACAGAAGATAAAACGTGCTGTGTTTGCTTTTTAAGCCCTTGTGACATGTCAGTGATGTGCCAGGAGGCAGCTGAATTGGGGGTCAGCAGAGGACAGGAAAACCCAGGTTATGTTCACCCCATTCCTATGGCCTTCCATAGCTGATTAATTTTGGTGACTGTGCATTAAATAGAATCATAGAATGTCTTGAGTTGAAAAGGACCCAAAAGGATAATCAAGTCCAACTCCTGGCCCTACACAGGACACCACCAACAAAGCCACAGTGTGCCTGAGAGCTTTGTTCAAATGCCCCTTGAGCTCTGTCAGGCTTGGTGCCATGACCACTGCCCTGGGTAGCCTGTTCAGAGCCCAGATAGGTCACTGTTTTACCAATTTTTGTGCAATTTTTTTTAAATTAACATTTTGGTTATACGTACAACATTAAAAATACAGCGTGGAACCAGCTGATATCAGGTCATTCATAAAATGACCAGTTACTTGCAAAAAAGCCTGTTAATGTCACCAGTGAGGCTCCTGTGTCCCATGAAGCACCAAGTAAATTTGGAAAAAACCAAAGGGAAGGTTTATTATTTATTTCATGACAGTAATTACATGAATTGTTTCCTGTAGCAGCTGGAGCCAGAGCTGATCATCAAGTCAGAGTTAGAGCTGCTGTGGGAAGTGTCTGTGAGACAGTGCCTATCCTTGATGACAAACATGTGCACAGTGCAGCTGAGCACACTGAGCACAGCTACACTCCCTGAACACTCACTGGATATGGAACAGGAGCATCTGTGGCTGATGAGACTGCAGGAACAGCTTTGATTTTAAAATACCACTTGATTTAAAATACCACTTTCTCTGAGTAAACCGGAAATACTGAACCCCTTTATCTGTGAGGAAGGGAGGGATTGATGGATGAACTGACAGACAGCTGATAGACTTCTGGCTTTCGATCAAATCTCAGTGCACACTTTGACGTAGGTGAACAACATGACTCCCAAGCTGCATCCATTACATTTTCACTCCATCTGAATTAAGATATGAAATAAGGAGATAATTTTATGGTATTATTTAAAACAAGCCACCCAGAGGTATCATCAATTCTACTTTTTTTTTTGCAATTGCGATGCCGTTACCAGACAAAAACTTCCCTTCCTCTTTGTTGCTGTCCTTCAAGGAAGGCATACAGAGCCTTTAAAAACTAGTGCATTAGAGAGCATTGAAAGTAATAATTTTGGAAGTTCTGTTGGATATATGAAGTTTGGAACACTAATCATATGTCTTTTTCATTTAATCTTTATTGATTTCATTGGCCTTCGAAATACAAATCCGTATTCATCTTGAGAATAAAATGTGGGAAAGAAGCAGCAGTGCTGTGCTGTTTCCACTGGGTCACCTCTTAGATGAAATACACTGTGTTCTCCTTTGGCTGAGCTCACATTTTCTGTTTTGCAAGTTTTTGTGATCCATAACAGTGTTTATTTATTTTTCTTTTAAGGATGAAATTCTGAAAGCAGCTGTTATGAAATATGGCAAAAACCAGTGGTCTCGTATTGCTTCGTTATTGCACAGGAAATCAGCAAAGCAGTGCAAAGCCAGATGGTGAGTGAGAGGTGCCATGTCTGGAATATAAGGTTCATAATTAGTGGAAGTTTAGACATTACCACAGACTAATTTATGTCCTCAGAGCAACAACAGATTAAAAAATGTTTAGTTTTATTGTGGGTATTTTGAATTCTTATTGTTTGAAAATAGTTGAACAAAAGTAGCCAGATGTTTTCTTTGCCAGTGACTGCACTGTTACCAAATGCAGGATCACTTAAAATTATATACTTAAAATTTTTTTCCCTGTATTGAAACATTTTTTAATCAGTGGGTATTGCCAAGGAAATAAAATTGTAAGATATTAATCTCTTTTACATATAATTTTCTAATTTCTTGTAATAGGAGTTTGGCTTGAGACTAAATGTTTAGAAATTGCACTGTGAAATTTAATTTTTTATAAAAAATAGGAGCTTAAAACTAATTCAAATACATACAGTATGAGTCTGTTTGAAATTCAGACTTAGTTTGTCGAGTACTGAACTGCACATATTTATTATAATACTTATAAAGGTAACAGTACTGGAACAGTTGAGGATTAGTAAGATAATTGTTGAAGGCTCCAGACCAAACAAATCTACCATTTCTGGTATCTTTGATTGTTGCAATTTTTAATTTTCTTTTTCAGGATTAATTTTGTGACTCCTTACTTTTCCAGAGTAGAGTCAAGGAAAGGAAGAAGACGCAATATTTGTATGAAAAATGCTTGATAAATAATACACTTTAGAGCTCAAATACATATGTCATAAAAACGCTTGAAGACAAATCAGTGGGTAACTTGGATCTGTCATCCTTAATTTTTTCCCTTTTTCCAGGTATGAGTGGCTGGACCCGAGCATCAAAAAGACAGAGTGGTCCCGGGAAGAGGAGGAGAAGCTGCTGCACTTGGCCAAGCTGATGCCAACCCAGTGGAGAACCATTGCCCCCATTATTGGGAGAACTGCTGCCCAGTGCTTGGAGCACTATGAATTTCTCCTGTGAGTTTCTCTTTGGCCAGAGGTGCAGATACCTGGAAAATCTGGGGAGTTTGCTGTAGGGATGGTGTGGAATTATGGTGGTTTCAAGTTGACTGAGTCCTTTTGTAAGGAAATCTTTAAGGATTGTTTCTTTTCACTCACTGTGTCTAGCTTGAAAGAAGAAGCTCCTGGAACCAGGAGAGCAGGCTGGAATAG